ATTTAAGATTGCTACTATGATCTACTATGCCGTGTCGATTCGTATTTTCGTTATATTTTTTTTTCCCGTACGAGAACAAATTTTCTACCAGAAACCTATCCGATCATCGACTTTAGCGATGACTGTTTTTAGTAAAAATGTTTGACTCGTTGGTGCAATAAAATTATTTTTTCTTTTCTCTGTAGTATTCTTAATTATGAAAAAAACTCAAGAAAAAACGTCGGGAAAACTTTTAATCGTTACATATAGTTACGGTTTCAGTTGTATTCAATTTCGTTTATTTAGTGAAAAATAGTCCTAGAGACCAGTCATTTCTCCGAATACTTACATAGGTAGAGTTTCTGATATACAGCTCTTTCTGGACATAGTACAATTTTCAACCAACTTTCTGGCTATTTTTAAGTTAAAGCCATTTAAAATTGTTGAATTTTTTTAGGATTTTATTTAGTTTTATGTGATTAAAATTGTTTTGAAAGTTACGATTAGTGGACATAAAAATCCAATATCGTATCATTATTTTTTTTTTAATAAATACTTTAAGTTCAAATTTTTACGATAATGCATTTTGATGAAAAAAACAAAATATGAACCATTTGTATCAGTGACCAGGGGTTGTCCAAGAGGGCGAATTTTATTAAAATAAATATAATATGACATGATTAAATGTAGACTATAAGAATTATGTAAAAAAAAACATGGTTCAAAGAAGACAGGGCGATCGCCCGGTATTTCCATTGTATACACACTGCGTTCCATGCATTCTACTTCAAATAAATAGTATAGGTACGTTTAAAATTCTGAAAAATTAGTTGAAATAATCCGTCCCCCTGTATTCCCTTCCCGATTTAATCACCCGGTGATCAACATAACGAAAGACATTCGTTATATCGGAAGGCATTATCATTTTTTGGAATTTGCTTTTCAGACAATTTAAAAAATGAGCTGCTTTAAAATTTCACTCGACTGTTATTTTTTTTCACCCTCATTTTTAGTGGTAGATACATATTTAGGTAATACCTAACCTATCGGCAATATTGATAAAAATGTCAAAACCCGAGGTAGTAGAATTATTTTCCGAGTTATACGACGCCATCATAACTCAAATTGATTTTGTCAGAAATCAGTGTGCCGTAAAATTGCTCCGTATGTTTTGTAGGTAGATATTTGTTTTTTTGTTTTTCGTATTTTTCTACATTTTTCCATCTCACAGGTAAACCGATATCGGAAAATTACTGTGACCGTCCGCGTTCAATTTTCTACACAGGTAGTACGGTGTGCTATAGTACGACACTTTTTCAAATGTTACGTCGTATACATGTAGGTATATTTCATTCAAAAAGTGTTTTCCAGTATCAACAAATTAAACACGCAATACTTATCGTTGCACTATAACATTAAATAACTAACGCAATCTGTGAAATCCAAGCATTTTCAATATTCTTAAATTCTGCAGAACTCTTGTGTACTTCTTATAAAATAGTTTTACCGATGATTTATCGTACTTACTTACTCTTTACAATAGGTACCTAATATTTTGAAAACAATTACCCGGTATTTGGTATATATATATATATATATAAGTATACTTTTCTAGTTTTCAACCGCATGTAATACGTGGGCGATAAAGTTGTCCGAACACGTTTAGCGCGTTGGCTATAAAGTTTAGTTTGAGTTTCCGCGTCTATCGAAAAGTTTTTCCTCCGCCGTCGCTGTGTTCACGTCAATATTATTATAATAATATACGTGTACATATATACACGCTTATAACAAAGTGTTGGCAGCATAAATGTTTACTGCGCAAAATGTTAAACGGGTCACTGATCGAAATCGCCAGTCAAGTATAAGTATAGAGAAAGCCTATACATATATTAAATTATACTAATTGAACGGTCAATCGTATAATGTGCGATGAGTGTTTGATCTGGGAGGGTTGTGTTCTGGAAAAGCGAAACGGTGAAAGGTGAAACGGAATGAGACGAGATAAAACAAAGTTTTTTTTTTTCGACGATTTGACAAAATGTGTGAGGTGGTCTGATTTTCTGGGAAAGTGAGATGAACTAATTTGATTTCGCTAAAATTAAGTAAAAAAGTTTCTAAATATCTCACACTTTATAATGGTTTCAATTATGGTTCAATTTGATAATGAAACAATTAGTTGAATAAATTATCGAGTCAAATCTGACCTGTGAAGTAGTTTTTAATACTTAGGTACATAAATAATAAGACAGACATATTTTACACAGTGGGTGGGCAACTGTTATAAGTGAGAAGTTGAGAATGTAGAATATAGAGGGAAATTGAATGTTTATCTGTACGCAACGAATAATATTTGCTAATAAAAAACAATTCATGTTTAAAAGGCAGTAATATTTACGATTTTTGTCAAAATGTCATACTAAAATTCTTTACAGAAAATATATATATTATATTTAACTTAACTTTTTCTTGTTGACCACTAAGTACAACTTATAATAAACCTCCTGTTAATTCCTCAAACATTTCTGTTTAGTCTAACTATTTTATCCACATAGTAATTACCGAATAAATATAAGTAAAAACTTGTACAGTTAAAAACCATAAATTATCCATAAATAGCTTGAAAATGGCTCAAATATTTTGAAAATTTTACCACGTCTCTAGCAGACAAATATAAGGTTTTTGTCAGTATCATGTATCTACGAAATATTTTCACTGAATTACAAAAAAAAAAAACAAAATTTAAAATAATAAAAGTATTATTTTCATTATTGTCCCATCTGCTCTACGTTTTTTTCTGGTTTTTCCCATTTATTATGTAAACAGCTTTGAAAATCAAAAACTAACCTCCTTAAAGTACCACTTTAGTCAAATTTCCTTTCAGAAAAAGTTGTACACTTGAAAATCAGAGAAAAATTGTTGATAAAAAAGTTGTCCACAGTAAAAAAAAGTTCGTATTTACTAATACATTTTGTAAAAAACAAACACGATTATAAAATATACAAAACTGGGTGAAAAACAAAATTATTGTTTTAAAGTCTGCAAACTTGTAAATGTACTATGTAAAAGTCTCATAAAATAATTTTTCTAGAGCGAATCGAGCGCCTTTTAAAATGATTGAATCTGATTTGTTTTGTGCTTATAGAATTATAATATTCGTTGCTTAAATTCACAAATGAGCGTATACCCTATAGATTTTTTACAAAAACAACATTGACTATTATACTAATTGCTTATTAACAATAACATTTCATAGTTGGCAAAATAACTTTATTAAAAAAATAAAAAAGTTTGTTTTAATTACAAAATATTACTTACTCGTGGATAATATTTTAAACAGTATTTGGAGTATCTAGAGAAAAATTAATTAAAAATCGATATATTAAAATGTACTATTTTTCATCTTTTATTTAGGTTAAACTAAAATATCTTGCCTTTATATCTTCTTAAATATTTTTTTTTTTATTTATATCTACGGAGTGGACACGGTTTGAAATTTCCATCGTCACATAAGTGCGTAGGTGCAGTATCCTTATTATTTTATCGTACGCACGTTCGTACTTAATCTTATACTAAAGTGAATGTACGCGCAGTAAAGAACTTCAAAAACGGAAGTATAGATTTTATATTTGGGTACACAATACAGCGAATCTAACTATGTATATAATACATACATATAAGTACACGGTTTAAGGAGCTGCGGAATATTTGTTTGGGAAAATCGATAAGATAAATATACTATATATATTTACTGAATATTATATAATGCTTTCCAATGTTCAATGATGGGAGTTTATTATTTATGGGCTTATATATCATAGGTATACCATACACGTATTATCGCAATAAAATATTATACGTTACATAGGAATATACCTAAGTGAAAATCCAATAGTATAGCATAAGCTCGAATAAAACAATAATAAGATATCTATTGTATTTTTTTTTTTTTACGCCACCAAACGGCCATTTTAAAACCCAGCAAACAACAATATCGAACATAATATGCCCAGTGCTTAAATTGGAAAAAAATTAGAGGAGATACGCAAAATTCTAACACAAAAAATTTGCGTATTTTAAAATTTAAGTCTCTTCATGTTCATATAATGTCCACTCAGGTACTAAACTGATAATTTTTTAGTTTTGTTTGGAATTTGATCACGTAATTTCCGTTAAATTAGTATCGTCAAATGTATTAGGTATTTATAAAAGTATAAACAAATTGATAAACATTTTTTTTTTTTAAATCGGTTATTTTTTTAATTTGAAGTAATTTAATTTCTAATCGCATAGTTTCCATCGATATTCATCAATATTAAGTATCCATTATGAAAAAGAGCTGATACTGTTCATGGATGTACCACTGTTGAAGGTGTGGAGTTAGGAGGATAGGATATAAACGAAAATACAAAATTCAAGTCAATCAAATTTAATCAAGAGGATTAAGAAACGAAACTGATTTGCAAGTTGATGGATACATATATTATAGCAAGTAACTGATTTAAAATACCTATGGACTAATATAGATAGCTGAAACGGTGTGTATAACGAAATCAAATTAAGAATCACACCAGGATACAACGAATATTATACACTGAGCTATTTTGACAAAACTTTTATCCAACTGGTCGAAGCTTATACTACAAAAACAAAGATGGGTAAACTGAATGATGTCAGATCTTGCCGAAGTCTCACGAGGAACAAGAACAGAAGACAGTGAGGATAGAACTAGATAAAGAGGAGTGGTGGGGGTAGTAAGGACCCTACATGGATCGTAAAAGGTGACAACAGAACAAGAAGACCTAACAATGAATAATATTCCAACAAGATGATTTTGAATATTTAAATTCGGTAAACAAACGTTTCAGGATTTCAAATGTTTAACATTTTTGGTACTTATTACATTTATTTCGAAAGCATCCTCAGTTTGTTTCTACAAATTTAAGCAGAATTATAGCGTTTTTTAAAACAATTTTTATATTAATATTTGCTTTGAAAACTCGAAAAATAAATAGAGAGAAAACTCTAGCGGCAGTTCATTAAAAGATTGTTTGAATACACGCCCGGCTGGAATTCTGTATAGGTAATACAATAATATTACGATTCGTCAAACAATACGCATAATCCGGTGATAATTATTGGTCCCCGTGTTATTTGACCATAGGGGGAGGGAGGTGGGGTAAAACATTATGGGACCAATAATCACTATTAAATATTTTTACGCTCTCTGGTCAAATTTTCCCAGTAAAATCGTACCGTCTAGATAGTTCACAAAAGGGGTGTGTGACTTTTATAGTGAAATTTTACAGGTTGGTTATCAATTTTTATGGTTAAGCCGGTTCGCGTGTATTTACCGCATTATCAATTATTTCCCCTTGTAATTTTCCGGTTTTATGTCACAGCTAGTAAAGGCGTGACCGAATAAATACGCCATGACTCTGATATTATTTTATACGTGGGGAGCGTATTAATTATATATATATATATATATAAATATGATATTATATACGCGTTGCTCACGTGGCCGTAACATATCATCCCCTCGCTGAAAACCGCTTCGACATTTACTAATTAATAGTGTGCGTAATTAATTAATGTGCATATATATATATATACCTACATTTTAATTTAACGATTACACGCGATTTTTACTCGCGTGATCGTATAGTAGGGAGGTAAGTAAATACCTGCCCTGTAAACCTATCAATATGTTAATTATTATATTATTATAATATTATAAAATATTATTATCGGAGTAGTTATAGCCAGGTGTTGTATATGATTGCGCGCGTCAACAGCGGGACGTTATACAATAAAACGAGTTGTTTTTTTTTTTTTCAAACAAAAATATTTAGGACGGCGGCCCCGCTCACTGTGGTGTTGAGGCGAACGATATCGTATTCAGTGCATCCGAATTGGGTCCTGCGTTTAAAAATCTACTCTAGTTGGGTCCCGGATTAATGCGGGTACTATGCTAATTGGGTCCCGGGTTTTCGTGGGTACTATACTAGTTGGGTCCCGAATGTGATTAAATAATGCCATATTATATAATAACTTATTAGTAATAAACTAATATAGATAATAACGGTAAAAAAATAAAACTTGATTTTGTCAAAACGCTTTCTTATAAATTTTTACACCAGTACATTTAGTGCATAAGTATTGAATTCAATTAAATGGACACATGTTTTTAAAATTTTTTTTTTTTTTTATATTAAGTATATTAAATTAGTAGGTATTGATTAAAAGACCGGAAACCACCTTATGAATGTTTTCCAAAATATTAATTCATCTGGCAAAACAAACAATTTTTTATAAAACCTGTGTTTTATTTTAAATAACAAATCACTGACAGTCCTGAGTCTGTAAAAATGAAATGGAAAATAAGTGTTCGTATTGCTTGTAAACGTTTGGACCCAACTATTATAGCACCCAAAATTCTTCCGGACCCAACTAGTGTACTACCCACCAAAACCATTTTGATCCGGGACCCGGATTCGGATACAGCCATCATATTTTATCCAAACTTATATATATAACCAACGACGACAGACGGGAACGTAATATTTTTCGTTCATTTTTCAATGATTAATCTAATACTCAGTGGCGCCGATCCTATACATATTAGATGTGGTGGCCGCCACACCTTATTTAAGGGGTGGGTACACTCCGTATCATTGGTAGTTTAGTATGAAACATTGTAGGGCGTGGGTATACTCCTTGTCATTGGTAGTTTAGTATAAAGAGTTGTAGGGCTTTGCAGTGCGCGGGCGTTTGTTTTTTTTTTTTTCTGGACTTTCGAACGCGGCCGCGTCGCGGCACGAATGGGGCAGGTGGCGAAGCGATAAATTCGTGGCGCGTACCGACCCGCGACAATATACGTATTTAGTGGCCGAGACGTTATCGCGAGACGACACTCGCCCGGGTCGGCCTACGGGAGTACCGCCAGGATTACGAGCCGGCCCCGCGGAAACTTCGGGTCGAATGACTTCGCGGCCCGGTTCGCGTATGCAATATACACGCCGGCGACGACGACCCGATAAGAAAACACTGTCTGGCCGGTAACTTATAATAATAATACGGCGGCGCGAGTATACTACGGCGGTGTGACGGCGAGACGTGACGGTTACCCTAATACGGTTCCGCCCGCGGCCGAGTGCGACGCGCGAAACACGTGCCGCGGGACCGCGGTGTAGTAAGTGTTACGGGGGGGGGAGGGGATACGCGGCGGGACGCGGTGGGACGGCGGAACGTATATGCAATAATAATAATATTAATATTCTCGTCGCGGGGCGTTTCGCGACGGAGACACAACTCAGAATGACTTACGTACGTATACTTATGATATAGTGTACGATACAGGAAGTTACAAGTGAGGTTGTAAATATAATTATTACAGCCCAGACCCCTTAAAAAAAAAAAAAAAAATAGAAGGGACGTTTGTCTTTTTTTTCACATGTGAACAACTTTCGCACCAGAAATCTCGCTCCGATCAAAAAAGGTTTTTTCTTTGATTTTTGGATTTATTTGGTGCGTGGGGGTTTCCATAATTATTAGGAAAAATCAGAAAAAGACGTGGAATGAAAACTGACCAATTTACGGCGTTACGAATTCATTATTTTAAATTTATACGTTTTATGTTTTGTACCAGAAATATTACTTCTGTCGCATTTGTAATCTAATTGCTGAATAAATAAGTCTTTTTTTAAATTTTACTAGCGGTTTTCTTAAAAATTAGAAAATCCGGAAGAAACGTAGAGAATACGAGAAAATTTACAGCATAAATGGATTCGTTATTCGTTATTTACGTTTTTGGTTTTACGTCGTAAATCGGTTAACAACTATTGTAGAGAACTGAAATGTTTACAGAATTCTAAAATTAGCCTAGCATAGTCTATTTAGCCCCCCATGAGTGTATCCGACACTGTTGATTGGCCAAAGTAGCGGGGGGTACACAGTGGCGTATATAGGAGAGGGTTTTGAGAGTAAACCTTTCCCCGTGAAATTTATGGTTGATACGGCACACGTGGGTATTTATGGATTTATTTAATCTATGTACCCAAAAAATAATATAAGAGCTGATAATGAGGATGATCGCGACATTTTTGTAGGTGGAAAGTCTGTTAGGTCTGGAATAAAGTTATTTAGAATACACTTGTAAGCAACGATTAACCATTGCTAACGAAAAAGCGATTCTGAGCGGAGTTTAGTTGATAGTGTTGCTTTATCAACAATATATGTGTCGTGTTATGGTAAAATGATTACAACAATGTACGTGTCCATGATAACAATAATTGTTTAAAAAAGATAAATAAATAATGAGATCTTAATAATAACAAAAAAATAAATAAAAACGGTTGATAATGACAACCTTATTTTAAATCTTTTTTAACTTAAAGAACCAGGTTTTCCTCATTATCTCAAATTTTAATGAGAATTTCAAAAAATGACTTCTTTTAAAGTGCTACCAAGAGTACATTTCCTTTCAGATACTCCTTTCAGGTGCTATACTTGATAATCGGAGAATGCCTTCTGGTAGAAAAGTGATCACATAAAAAAAAATGTAAAAGAAATATCTTTGAAAAATCAATATATTCCTTGCTCCACTCAAAATATAATAAAATTGGAAATAATGAAAGCATTATCCAAGTAACATTTCCTGTTATTTCTACATTTTTTTTCGATTTTCCTCAATCATTAAAAAAGCTGCAGGAAAAATTTAAAAAATGACTTTTCCACTCACCAACTAGGTTTAAAATTCGACAAAAGAGGTCACTTGAAATGTTTTGATCAAAGCAATATTTCTGGTAGAAAACATAGTTTGTAAAAATTAAAAATAACGAAATCGATAACGCCGCGGCGCACCGTAAATATTTGCGAATCATTTTTTTCCAGTTTTTCCCAATTAGTTTGAAAACCCCTTGAAAAATTGAAAAATTGTCTCTTTAATGAACCGACTAGATAGAATTTCCTTTCGGAAAAGACCTTGAGCTATACGCTTGATACATCAGAGCGAGATTTTTGGTAGAAAAATTGTTCGTAGACAGGAAAAAGCACACTCGCACACGCCATACAATGAAACCGATAGATCCTTCGCTACACACCGATTCTAAAAATATACTTTTATTGATTTTACAAGTGATATTGGAGGCGTCGCGATCGGCGCGTGACCGAATTCGCTACTGTTCGGGAGCGATGTCAATTATTCGCCAATCGTTCGGCGTCATTTTCAATCGAATCGTTCGAGACGGGAAGGGTTTCTACTTCGCGTGCATATTATACACGTGTGCGCGTCGTATCGTACATGACATATTATAATGCGTACACACACACATACACACACACGCGCGTGCGCGCGCGCGCGCGTCCGCGAAAAACGCGACGCGCTAGTCGACGATCGCGGCCGACGGACGGACGGAAGCGCGCGCACAAGATGTTTCAATCAATGTTGTACGCGCGCAAGCCACGCGCCGGGACATCGCTTTGTGCGGCAGACGACGACGAAAGGATTGGTGTATGTGTGTGTGTGTGTGTGTGTGTGTGTGTGTGTATGTGTGCCGGGCACGCTTGTTCGGGACGGGCCGGCTTCACGGGGAAAGGGGGAGGTTGGTGAGTAGTCTGTCGGGGCGGGCCGGCGGTGACGGTTGATTCCCGGTGACGTCGGGGCCGCGAAAGGGATTGCCGGGGAAGGCCGCGGCGGTTGTCACGCAGCAGCAGCAGCATCCGCCCCCGCCGAGCCTCGGGGGCGCAGCACCGCCGATCATTATTATACATGCGCACGGCTCGTTCATTTATTTATACGTTTGTTCGATTTTTTTTTTTTTGTCGCTCCTTCTATATACCGGGAGAGCGTATTCGCCGTGTTCCGGTGACGTGCAATGTGCACCGTCGTCACTGTCGCAGCCGCCGCCGTATTGTGTGCGCGCCTAATATAAATTCAGGGAGGAAAAACAAAAAAAAAAAAACCCAACGAAATAATAATAATAATGAAGAAACAAATGACGGTCGTACGAAAAAAAAAATCTCTAGTACCGCGCCAATTAAAATAATATTATTTGTACGGAAGGTAGAAAAAAAAAAAAATGATCCTTTTCACTTCGCGTAGTCGTATGCCGCGACCGAAAACGTCAAAGCGGTAAACGCGGGGCGGCACGGTAACTCGTCGACTGCAAAACGGGCGAACGGCAACCGTCGCCGTCGGCGTCGTCCGCCGACACGTGACCCGCGTGTACTAATAATAATAATTATTATTATTATTATTATTATTATTATTATTATTATTATGATTATGATTATTGTTGTTGTTATCGCTTGGCTCCTCGCTCTCGCCGCCGCCAACCGCGCCGACACGTAAAACACCGCGACACATACACACAGCCGGAAGGCGGGAAAACAAAATGCGTTCGCATAAAAGACCGTTACCGTCGGCGTCGCCGTCACCCGCCACCGCCACCGAGAACAACAAACTGTCGGGCACTGCGTTATCGCGGTGACAAAATCGCCTGGCCGTTAGCTTTTTATTTATTTTTGTTTCAATTTAACGGCTCGGAAAA